ATCTCACCCCTATGATAGACGCATTTGTCGCTCGGATCAAGCAGGTCCCCGTAGAGGTTTTCATATATATCCACCTACCCGAGTGGCGTCCGAGAGACATCAAGTCTGCATTATCCACTATACCGTTTGAAAATATCTACAGAATATCCGCCATACGCCATTTGAACATCAATATCATGGCCGATATCATCAACGAGCACACTTTCATGAATGTTTTCGACCCCATCTTGTGGGACAGGATAGAAACGCTGTCTTTAGTCCTTCACAGCGACTATACTGTTTCAATCAACCCATTCCTTGGATACATTCCACGATTTGACAGTCTCTATGTGACAGGAGGGGTATTCGGAGTGGAAATTTCTCCTCGACTTTACATAGCGGGACAAAAAGTAACCAGTATATGGCTTAAAGAGGTTACTGAACTCCCATTGGTAGCATTACTAAGGATGACTCCCATCCTCAAAAGCCTTACGGTATTGAATTGCGAACTAATTGTGGACGAAGGTGCGGACATTTGTACCATGGCTCACCTGGAGGATATCCGTATCGTTTCGGATGGATTCACGTGGAATAACATTCGATGTCCAGCACTCATTCGCTTGCACACCCCTTCTGAGCCCAATCAGCTCGAAACGGATGCTTTTTGGAACTTTATCTCATCCACTCAAACTATCACGTATATCTCAGCACACTCTTTCCATAAGCCGGAGTATCTTGTTCGGTTGGGTAGCGTCTGTCCCCAGCTTCACTCCCTAGAGGCTTCCAAACCCTCAAATCCCTTGCGAGTATTAGCAAATAAAACCAATTCGCTTGGAGACACACTGTTTCCCAATCTCCTCAACCTGGTTATAGAGATATACGAGCCTCAAGCTATGACGGTAGCACTAAAGCACTTTCTTCAGGCTCGATGTCTACCGAAGCAGAATCCTCACGGCCAGATGGATCCTCACACAAAACCTTTGCTGAAGAACTTTGCAATCCGCATCTCAGAGCATGCCATGTATGATCCCAATACCCACCTACTCGAGCAGTATTTCACCGTCACGGAGAGTCCACCAACATGCTCTATGTTTAGATACCAGTTTTCACAGCAATCGCATCAGTGATGAGCAAGGTGGAGGGGTTATTTGGAGTCGACACTTTCCTAGAAGAAAGCTGGGAACGGGATGGACCTGCGTACCGAGCAAAGAAGCCCATAGACTCATATGACTCTATCGGGAACAAATTAGGGATAAATCTGTAGGAACTGTGTTGTAGGGAATGGATTATGACAAACTTTTGTAAACCTCTTGTTGAACAAGTCCATAGTTTGTGTATTCCTACTTTATATCGAGTATGGTGGCAGTGATCTCTGAGTGCCTCTTCGATCATAACCATCTCCCTGGAGCAGTGCGGCCACGGTTAACTTGACATTTACCTGCCATTCAGAACACTAAAACCTGGCTCTAGACCACAGAAGCTATCCATGGAAAGATTGCCTCCCAATAATGATAACGATGCGACACATCTTTCCCTCGATCGACATCCAATTCAGGGATGTAGCGACGAAATACTTCAGCTCATCTTTGAGGGGATCACTTTCAGTGCGGTTCGTCCGTTCAGCACTGCCGTCAGTCTATCTCACGTCTGTCGACGGTGGAGATCATTGGCGCTATCGACGCCTTCTTTATGGAGGACAGTTATGTTCAAGATACAAATCCCGTTGCAGGATCTTACCCCTATGATAGAAGCGTTTGCTACTCGTATCAAGTATGTCCCCGCGGAGGTGTTCATTGATATTGAGGCGTTCTGGGAGCCGAAGGAAACCATCAAGTCTGCTTTAGCGGCAATACCGTTTGAAAAGATCTACAAAATATCTGCTATCAGTCATTTAAATATCCAGATAGTTGCTGATAGCCTCGACAAGGTCCTTTTTAGCGATGTTTTCGACCCAATCATATACCAAAGGGTGGACACATTCACGTTAGACCTCACCATTGATCGTATTTTATCGTTCAACCCTTTCCTCGAGAATGTTCCGCGAGTTGAAAATCTCTGTCTGACGGAAGGTCGGATTGGGACGAGTATTTCTCCCAAATTTTATACGGCGGGCCAAAAAGTGACCCAGCTACAGCTCGACAATGTTCAGGAAGTACCATTGATGGCACTACTCCGAATGACTCCCATTCTCAAAACCCTCACAATACTGCGTTGTGAACTAAATGCAGAGGAAAATGCAGACGTTTGTACCCTGCCACATTTGACGAGTATTCACATCGGATCTTATGGGTTTATGTGGAACAAAATCCGGTGTCCGGCACTTACTCACCTAAACACCCCTTCTGAGCATAATAGGCTCGAAAAAGACTGTTTTTGGACCTTTCTTTCGTCCACTCCAACTATCACGAATGTTTGTGCCTACGCTTTCCACGGGCCCGAGTATCTCAGGCGTTTGCTCGGCTCCTGTCCACAACTTTTATCTCTAGAGGCCTCCCAATCATCGCAACCCATGCAAACGTTGACCAACGGGGCAGACTCTCCTGGAGAGGCTCTATGTCCCAATCTCCGTAAACTAGTTATTAAGATAGATAGGGGTCAGTATGTGACAGAAGAAGTAAACTTCTTTCTTCAGGCCCGATGTTTCCCGGAGCAGGATTCCCAAAGTGTAATTGGTCCCCGTGTCAAACACTCTCTCAAGGATTTTGAGATTCACATCTCGGGTCGTGCTGTACATGACGCTAATACCAGCTTGCTCGAGCGGCATTTTACCCTGACGGAGCGTCGACCAGCATCCGGTTGGTTTAAATACCAACTCACATCGAAATAGCCAGGAGCGACTATTGGTAACCGGCCCCCAGATTTCTACGCGTTTGTAGGCAACCAAAGTTGTAGTGACCAAGTTGTAGAAATGAATCGAATGAGCGTGTTCTTGATCCAATTTTCATCTCTAAGTGGATTTCCGTAAGGGTCTTTAGGTGGCAGCGCGGTTCGCCTCTTTCGCCTCTTTCGCCTCTACAACACCAACCATCGAACACGCCAAATGGCTGATACAACAAGTGTTACTACAACCGCCGTGGATCCTTCTTCGTCCTCACACCATGGAGGAGGTGCAGGCGACGTGCCGACTCAAAAGGCCGTGATCAAGAATGTTGACATGTCGGAAGACATGCAACGCACAAGCGTTGAGATTGCTCTCGCGTCTCTCGAAAAGTATACCGTCGAAAAGGACATTGCAGCCGAAGTCAAAAAGGAATTTGACAAGAAATTCGGCCCAACATGGCACGTCGTTGTAGGCAAAAACTTTGGGAGCTACGTGACCCATGGTGAGTAGAATGTGTTCGAGTACCGAATTCTCTAAGAAACAAGCTGACGCGCGTTGTGCTTGCTCCAGAGACGAAGCATTTCATCTACTTTTACATTTCGAACATTGCGTTCTTGGTCTGGAAGTCTTAGATCATCTATGATTCCTCGCTGGTTGCTCTTTTGGGTCTGATTTACGCGCAACGGGTGCAAAACCGGCGCGTTTTGTGGTTCTCGTTCCATTTGGGGCCACTCGTCCGTTCCCGCCCCCTAGACTGCTTTTCCCGTTCCACTTTACGTTTTGATCCTTTCTACATCTCCAACCATCTCATTAGAAATATTGAATGATCCTCTGAGTTCCTCCGTCCCCTCCCGTCTCCGCCTTTGTCGTCCTATGAGGGACGTTCTTTAGTTTCTTGTTGCATGTTTTTCGATAGCTCCTTGACTTTGATGATAATACGTTGAATTTGAGATGAATCGACCTCGTTGAGCGTCAATCCTTAGTAGAATTCGTTTTCGACTAGTAGGATGGTAGTAAAGCTATTATAATAAAGTTTTGACTTTCAGATTGAAACAGCCGACTTGGCTAAGCGGTAAGGCGTCCCACTCGTAATGGGAAGATGACTCGTTCGACTCGGGTAGTCGGCACGTTTTGTTCACATTTTTGGCTCCTTTCGTCTTTTAGCACGGAAACGCAGCGATATTCCATTACAATGCACGAAACTACATAAACGGCGTCTGCCACTCTGGAGAGAACCGCGGAAAGGGGTGTGCCTACCATCTCATGGTCAGTATACGATCCCCAACATTTCAAAAAGTTTCTTACCTCGGTATTGAAGACGACCTCTGTGAGGATTTCCACCGTGTCAGAGCTTCAGTCTAACCAAAAGGCTAATACGCACCGTCCAAGGGCAATACGGACTCGTCCGAGAAGAGGAGGTATAAGTACTTGAGAGTCTCGCTCTGGTGGCCATTCGTCAATGTTCCAGGCACAGATCTGAGGTTGTCACATACCAAAAAGAATGTCTCCATCTTATCATCTTGTCGGGCTGGCACTTCATCGACGTTATACACCCCAGCGTATCCCCCTGTTGGCACTTTACAGTGCTTTTCAATCGACTCGAAAATGCTCCATCCCCAACGACGATACTTTGGGTCTGCGGTAAGTCGATAGGCGATGAAGATGGACTCGACAATCTCCGGCCTATGGAATCGTGTGAGATTTGGAGTTGAGCAAAAGTGCCTGCGTACCTGAGGGCATATCGTGCATCAAGCGGTGGTGGCTGACCCACACTTCGGGGTGGTGAGTTTTGATCCCAAAAGGAGGCATAACAACTCACGGAGCACCACGGATATACCACTCTCCTTCAGCTTTGTCAGTCACCCAACCCGGTTCCGTCTTTGTCCTAAAGTGGACAATTTCTGGGGCCAGGCCACTGGGAGGTATACGTCAGAATGCATACGCTCAATCATCGTAAGACGTACGTCTTTGTCCGTTGTGTGTCGTAACAAGCATCCAGCATGTCAAGACCCATTTTCCAATCCCGTGCCGCACGCTCATTCTCAAAGTCGGATGCTTTGGGAGGTATGCTAGCTGTATTGTAAAGGACTTGTCAGTCATATAGGGACACCGAAGATCAAAGGACTGACCGGATGGTATATCTCTTAGATTCGTTCCACGCGTATGCGCTGCACTAAGTAGCAGAGAGCCGGCTAAAAAGCAAGCCAGGTGATCTTGCTTGGGCTCTCGTCTCCATGATCTGCCAGCCTCTTAGTCATTTGATAAAGCAGGTTCGGAGAAGTACACACATGGCTCCGGCGTCGTCTTGTTCAGGGTTCAACTCGGCAATGAACAGATGCTCCTTTCGTGGTGTACGCATTACAAGTGTTTCGCTGATTTGGTCTATCGCCTCGTCCCACATCTAATCATCCGTGTTAGTGTATAGTACTCATAAACTTCCAATAAGCTCACTCTTAGGAGATCTGGTTCCGTTTTCGACTGCGGATAACTGAAAGTCAATGAACGTGTCCGAGTCCGAGTAAAGAACGTACAGTCTGTAGGTACTGCTTCCTAAATGAGAGTAAGCCTCGATAACTCTTGCACCAGGGCGGACTCACAGCAGATATTCAAAGTACGAGTCTCCTCGTGAACCAAGTCGAATAGGTGAGATGATGAATTCGCCATCTTCGGGACTATATCCAGATTAGAAGAGTGCTTTGATGCCATAGAACCACATACTTCATGAATACAGTTGGTAGTCGGCCTCTTGTTCCTTGTCTTGTGATTGTCATGATATGGTCCGCTCTCGCCCAGTGTGTCCGCAAGTCCTCCTTCGTCACGACATTCGAGTCTTCATCCATTAAAAACGATGGAAGATTTGCCTTTTGACGCTGCGCCTCTGGGATTTGTTCCAGCTTGTTGGTTAACAAGTGTGTCAGGTACCTGGTTAATGATGTTAGTACCTAATCGTGAAAACTAGACATACAAACCTGAATTCCAGTTGCAATGTGCCGACTTCGGCCGTGGATACAAGCCCTCCTTCAACGTCACTCTTGATTCCCTTTCGCGTTTTTAGGTTAATGTTCGACAGTGGGAGACCAGACCGGGTATTAAACGCATGACCCAGTCTCTCAGCGAGGTCTACCGCTTTGCTCAGGTAGAGCATATCGGCCGGGTCATAGTCATCTTCACTATTTGCGTTCTCCATATGCAAACCGGGGGTGATCCCAACTTCATGTTCGGCCCAATGAGCAGATAACAGTCCTCCGAGAAGGCGAATCGTCAACTCGAACGTGTTATACGTCCCATCCACGTCGAAGGTATGTTGATCTTTGAGCCACTTCCTCGCTCGGCGATATGATTGGCCCAATGAAGCACCATCTTCTGATAACGAAAAGATAAGAATGCTGTCGAGGGTGTCGATGATGGTGTACCCCACGCCTCCCGCCTCTGTCAAGTTGGACCCCTGCTTCGAGATTGGGTGGTACTCGTCCGATCCATATGCGTCGCGTTCTTATCATACGAAATGAGAGTTAGAAGCATTCCTCCGGCGAGCACTTCACTCACCGTATCCAAACCACGCATGCTAGTGACGTAGAAAGGCAAATGTCGTCAAGGCAGGCACGCGACTTGTAAACGAAAGACCAACACACCTTGAACGCCTGGAATACCGCTTTCCTTTTCTCTTTATCCAAGTAAATCTTGGTTTTGAACGGCAAATCCTGCGGCTTCTCGCCCCGTCCTATAGCAACCAATAATTTATCCTGAACCGGTCCTGGCACCTAGTTTCCGAGCGAGACGTCGAGTGAGAAATGACAAGAATTCGAGCGGCCGCGCGGTAGGATGACATACCAGTGCCAATGTCACCAACACGAGCGCCCCGCTGACAACGAGCAAGAGGACATTGGCAAGAGGTCCGGCCTGCGAACCACTCGTCTTTGCTGGTTGTTTCTTCGTAATCTTGTTGGCGCGCTTTCTCGTCGACTTTGGTGGATTGTCGGCCATGGTCGGAAACCAAGATTCGTTTACACGGCCATTCAGTGGCGTTTATTCGGAGACTCAGAGACTCGGATGCACTAAACTCAGAGAACACTCGAAAATGCTGGTAAGATGTAAAAACGTTGATTACAGTATGTGTAGCAACGATAATACATCCAGGTTTTTTTTGTAAAACAACAAGAAAAAAAAAGGGTCCGTCCGGGTTGTAGTAGGAGAAAATGAGAGTGAGAATGGTATTGGATGGGCTATTCAACAGACGCGACAGCATCTGAAGCCTCTACCGGAAACGAGAATACGACGAGAGGGAGGGGAAGGAGAGGTGGTGATACCGAGCATGCATGAGAGCAATCGGAAGGTACAGAACGAACAGGCAAAAGGAGGGTTCAGAGGCGTCGGAACGAAGGTACTGCCGGGGTACGCAGAGGAGGGAGGAGGTGAGGGAGTGCGGGATTAAGAGTAAGGGAAGGTGGATAGTGGTTTGTGTGAATAAATAAGCTAGATAAATGAAGAAGGATCGAAAATGTGAGTTTGGGGTGTAATGATGTTTATGTTGAATGAGATGCAGATAGATGATTGGAGATAACCTCGGGTTCTGAATACCACAAAAAAGGGGTATGGGATATGTGACAAAAGGAATGGTGAGGTGTAATTACTCGGCCAAGTATGGTAATGGAGTATGGGTGCAACTCGGCTGCACTGATTCTGGAATGTCCGTCCAGTAGTGCCGGGTAAGGTTATGTACGGGTGGGAGTTCGGCAACGGGATAGGAAAGAGGAATGTACAAGGTCCGACCACGGACCTAGTATGGTGCAGGATATGGTGTCCTGGGAGTTCGGCGGGTACGTAGAGCCTGGGGTGCAAAGTAGTCTACGGTGCTACTGTATCCTGGTACGAGCGGTGAACCCGATGTACTCGATGCAGACGGACTCAAGCCCGGGGTGGAGAAAGCCGGGGTAGAAAGGAAGTTGGACGAGCCCGAGTTGGAGTTGTTTGATCCCGGCCAGCCTTGAGGTACACCAGCTGGAGAGAGGAAGAGGCTAAAGTCCAGTTCGGAGCTCAGAGCCAACGGAGTGGGTACTGGGCTGTTTGCGGCGGAGATGTGTGGGCTTGGTGTGGCGGAGAGCAGGGTCGGTTGCAAGGTACGAGCTGGTGGCCGTAATGAGGAAGACGGAGATGGGGCGTATGACGAGGAGCGCTTGTGCCTGTGCTTGAAGTTTGGTCGCTGACCATGCACATAGACAGGCGAGTCTTCGAACGGATCTTGTCTCCAATCGAATGCTCTTGCTTGCAGTGACTCGTAGAATTCGCCGCGTAACTCGTCAAAGTTCTCCGGCGCATGGATAACGAACATATCCTCATCCTCATTCTCCTCCTTGATAGTCATACGGCATCCAACTGGCTTGCTCGGTCGTAAGGTTATAGGGGAACCGAGCTTGGTAGGAGCGGCCGCCTTTCGCGGACCTCCATTGGGTAATAAAGCCAGGGCCGCTTGGAGATGGCGGGATGCGCTGGTCTGGGAACAAGGTCAGCCTTTGCCCGAATAACGCAAATAATATAAAGTTACCTCTGCTCGCGTCTCTAGTGCTTGCTTTCGCCGTGCAGAGGGCACAATGGGTGTCCTGCGGGCCTTCTCCCGTGCAGCATTGGCCTGTCGGAAGGCCAGAGGCGGACTACTGGGCGGTAATGATGATGCCCGTTGAGCAGACCTTGTTCGTTGATGAGCAGGCATGCTTGGTAACAGCCTGGGCGATGTAGTGATTTGCCGGTTACGGTGCACAAGGCGCCGTCGAATGGAAGGCTCTGCTCACTCGCCAACGACAAAGATGGCGACAAAATTAAGAAATATTCTCTGGTAAAAAGATAGGGGTCAGCTCTGTCCTCGTCGGGTGGAAGTGGCTTGTTGTCCTGACTAATATACTCACCTACGACGCGTATGTGGCCCCGAGAGATATTAATGAAAATAATTTGACGGCTTTTCCACAGGAAAAACCGATCGTTTGGTATTGAAACGCGCGAGTGTGAGTACTGGTCGGCTGAAACGTCTTGTGAAAGCGGTTTTGGAGGTTTGGCCAGGTTGTACTGCTGCGCGTTTGTAGGCTTGAGGGTAAAGACTGTGGGGGGTTTCCAAGGTTTAAAGAGGCTTTAATTG